CGATATCGCGGTTATCGCGACACACTAAAGTGGCTTCGTAATGCTACAGAAAATAACATAAATGCCAACGCCAGGTCTCTGAGGGTCAAACAGGTATGTTTGCATTAATTACTTTGTCTTACAAATTATAGATTATAGATAAAGTTGATGTAAATTATAGATACATTTAATGTTAGAGTCAGTGTGTCTGTTGATGTTTATTGTAATCTCACAAACAGCGCTGAATTGTTTTATATAGTTTACCAACAGAGGGCGACGTGGTTTGATATCATCATCATCATCATCATCATCATCATTTTATATTAGTGTTGGGGGTAGTAGTGGCTATTTTTGTGTAGAATATGTGTTTGCATGTGTTATTTTAACACCTGAAAACTTGGACTGCGTTAATTTGCGTATATAAATTTTACTTGCAAATGAACACTTTATGTAGGTTTCAGTGTAGTGTCTAAATTTGTCAAATAAAAGGCCAAGATACGTTATGGCTCCATAATGAAATTCTAGAGAAACAATTTGTTTAGTTAGCTTGATTTATTAATGAAGATGTATTTTATAGATTTGATCTCACTGACACTGCCAGTGTCAGTTCATTCAAAGTTAATAAGGCAGCTGCTTAAATAGACTGTAACACTCATACATAAAAGCATACCGTTTTTCAGAAGACAGACGAAAACAAAAACATTAGTCCATCCACAAGACCAACTGAAGGCCAAAAAGTGTGATATAAAAATACATTTGTGAAACCCAATTGCAACATTTTAACATTGTGGCTTGATAGCATTGATGGCCTACTGCAAGCTTTAATGAAAGCAAATGAGATATACTTTCGGGGCAGTTGGTGTGGCATGTGTTTAAACTTAAAGACCCACTGTAAAAATGCATTGTGTTTACACCATTAACTAATGCCTGTTTTAACTAAATAGTATGTTTCCAAATATTGAAGCTGTAATATTTCATTTTTAGTTCTTGAGAAGAATAATTTCCTATAATATTTACACAATCGGTAAGTCACAAAAATATCCGACGATTTTTGGTATTTTTGAGCCTAATAACATTATAGAGTGCACGGGTTGCGGTTATGCTCGTCAAAAGCTCGGTATTGCGATATCGCGGTTATCGCGACACACTAAAGTGGCTTCGTAATGCTACAGAAAATAACATAAATGCCAACGCCAGGTCTCTGAGGGTCAAACAGGTATGTTTGCATTAATTACTTTGTCTTACAAATTATAGATTATAGATAAAGTTGATGTAAATTATAGATACATTTAATGTTAGAGTCAGTGTGTCTGTTGATGTTTATTGTAATCTCACAAACAGCGCTGAATTGTTTTATAAAGTTTACCAACAGAGGGCGACGTGGTTTGATATCATCATCATCATCATCATCATCATCATTTTATATTAGTGTTGGGGGTAGTAGTGGCTATTTTTGTGTAGAATATGTGTTTGCATGTGTTATTTTAACACCTGAAAACTTGGACTGCGTTAATTTGCGTATATAAATTTTACTTGCAAATGAACACTTTATGTAGGTTTCAGTGTAGTGTCTAAATTTGTCAAATAAAAGGCCAAGATACGTTATGGCTCCATAATGAAATTCTAGAGAAACAATTTGTTTAGTTAGCTTGATTTATTAATGAAGATGTATTTTATAGATTTGATCTCACTGACACTGCCAGTGTCAGTTCATTCAAAGTTAATAAGGCAGCTGCTTAAATAGACTGTAACACTCATACATAAAAGCATACCGTTTTTCAGAAGACAGACGAAAACAAAAACATTAGTCCATCCACAAGACCAACTGAAGGCCAAAAAGTGTGATATAAAAATACATTTGTGAAACCCAATTGCAAGAAAATGGAAAAGTAATAAATAGTGCAGCATTACTGATTCATGCCTAAAACAATTTAAAATAAAAACAAATAAAAGACAAAAAGCCAGAACATGCACTTATCAACTTTCTTTATAAAACAATATATTTAAAATACAATGATATAAAACAAGACTTAATATCTTATGTCAATTTAGTGTTTCATGTAAATGAATAATTTAAGGGAAGGCCGTTCAGATATTTACTGAGGAAAAAGTCCAATATACTGCTTAAAATACAGCATGGACTTTTTTGCCTGTGTTTTTTAAGCAAGCTTCAGATATAACAGAACAAAAATATATTAATAAAGCATGGACAAGAAAGTGCAATCCCTTTTCAAATTCATAAAAAAAACTTTCGAGCTTATCAATAGATCTGTGTATATGAGTTAATCAGTCTGCCATGAAGTGCTTTATTTTTTGTTTTCTTCTCACCTTTAGAGGAAACCGCTGTATGTCCATCTCCATGTAACCTCTGACCTTTGGGGAAGCTGTGAGTGACCTTTATCTTCTAATCTGCAAAAACTAACATCACTCAGAGCATTCAGACATGCATGTAAATAATGTCAATGTAATTAAAGTGCTTGATGAACTGCTTGATGAACTGTGTTCCTTGACCATCTTAAACCACCTGATATACAAACATATCATAATCTACATGTTAAAATCTTATTTAAATCACACACCTTTCATGCAGCTTCATGAGATTGAGGGGAACTGACAATGCACTCATTCAAAATCACACTGTTACTTAAAAGTCAATGATAAAATGGCTTATAAAAGTGGAGCTTTAAGGGTTGGATGTTTGCAAAAGCTACCTGGATTGATATTTTGTTTCCTAATTAAATGGCATTCATACTTTTAAGGGCCGCATAAGGCCTGTTCACACCAAGAATAATATACCAGATAAGATAACCATAACTCAAAAAGTTTTTAAATCAGCTCTAAAAGAACAGCAAAGTTCACAACAAAAACGATAAGGACAGGGAAATATATCTTTCAGCGTTAAAAAGTGAAATGTTATCCTCTGAGTGGACGCTATATAGTTAATTATTAGCCTAGTTATACTCATTGTTCTTGGTGTGAATGCGCCTTTAATGTGTAAATACGTTTTTTGAGCCACTGTAAGATTAACATTGATTATCATTGATTTTTGTTATAGCATCAAGTCTGATATAGCTTGACAAATCCATATTTTTGTCCACTACTTATGGTCATGACCTTTCTGCTCATCTTTAAAGCATGTGAATGTTTCAAATGGGTGTTTTTGTTATAGCCGGTGCTCAGAGCTCACAGCTATTGTTGGTTGATAGACTCTCGTTTAACAGGCAGCTCTGGATACCAGTCTACATGTGGAAAGCATTTCTTATCACCATCCAGTCCACCGCCAACTGCTCCCTGCTGCATCAGAACCGTCATTTCTGCTTTGAAACGAATAACAATGCAACAATAAAGGCCTCAGTTTTCTGTGATAAGCGCTAACATAAAGAAATGATCTAGCCACGGTAAAGGCTCATTTAGCCGGCCGTATCTGTGCGATTAGCAGAAATGACAGGTAGTGAGGGGATATTTGAGGAGATTTTAAATGAGTTCAGTGGCGGAGAGTCCGCATCAGGTGGAATACTTACTTCAAAGCTGCTGTGTGGGAGCTAAATACTAGTCATATTGGCAGAACTACAAAGGAACAGACTGATAAGAAGAGTATTTTTACCCTGTTGTAGGCTACCTTTCATATGTGTAGATGTAAATGCACTTTAGTAGTAGGCCTATATTAATACAATTATAACATTTGCCCTTCACTGCTCCAAATATCGTATTGCCCTAAAATGTATTTGGACACTTCAAAAATGTCTTAATGTTTGCATAAGGCTAAACCAAGTGGCATTTATTTTAAAAGAAATCACACAAACAAACACCACACAAGACATTTGTATGTTTTAAATAACGAAACGGGATCTACAGTAGTATTTGGACACTGGTTTTCAAACGTCAAACAGGTAGGCTTATCGTGGTCGTGTTGATATTCGTAAAAACATTGCAGTTGAGAGTGTGCTTTTAACCAACACATGACAGGTGAATAAACAAGAAGTTAATACTGAGTAACTTACATTTTAGAAACAGAATTTGCAAGTTATTTTGTCTGGTTTCGCTCTGCCAACAGTTCCAAACAAAGCCAAAGCCAAAGCCAAAGCAGAATCGGCGGCGGGGAATCCGAACAACATTCGCTAGTTCATGAGTGAATCGTTGCTTTTGAAAGAATCGGATGAATGAATGACTCAGTGATTCGCTCAAAAAAACGCCTCAATTCGAAATAATGTTCTTGCAATTTATGCAGTTTCTTTATATGCCAGAAATACGTTTGTGGGAACTACACTAATGTAACTGAATACTTTAAATTATCAATACAAGTGGCAAACAAATTATGCTTCAAAAGATTGGTAATTTATAACTCAAGTTGGAGCGTAACAGAGTAACCTCAATTCTAGTTTTTCACATTAACAATGAACATATCCCTCTAAAGTAGGACAGTGAGAAAGTGTCGCAGTTCTTTGTCATTAAAAACATCCTTATGTGAAATTGGTCTGTTCTATTTTTGTCTTTCTTTGAAATAAATAGGCTACTTCCTTGTTAAACTTTTATCTGTGACTGAAGTGTCCAAATACTTTTCTGGTCCACTTGACCTTGTGAGGATAGAGGGGTTTGTATGCAGAAAGTATCATCATATTTGAATAAACAATGCCATTGCTGAACATGTTTTTTCTTAATTGTGTTTTGGATAAACAATTCAATGCATAATTGACACTTCATTTACCATATTTAACTCTGTAACTGTAACCTTTATGGCAATATAAAAAAACATTTGCACTTCAGTTCCCAGAGATTTGAGAAAAATGCCTTATTCAATCCAAAAGTCAAAACAAACCAACTGAATAAAGTGTACAGAAATATCACTTAACTCAAATAATAAAACATATATTTATAATTTTGCCTTATGAAACTCGTGCATTCACAATCATTGATTTAGCTTTTTTTTTAGAATCTGAATGAGTAGTCTATCTGTTCCCAAACAAATGACAAGACAACAAAACAATAAGATGTGAAAAAGCAACTTTTAATTAAATCCATACTAAAAATGAAACTGCACCTCCAGTCAAAATCAATCAGAAGAACGATATTAAAAGGCATATTATAGTACAGAATGCTTTTTCGCATGGGTGATGTAGATTTGATGTATCAGCACATATATGGAACAACCTTTAATGAGGGCAAACTGAGAGGTTCATTTCAACGCATCTACTGAACAATCATAAGCTCGATACAAAGATCATATAGACACACTATATGATTCTCCACATAAAAAAGTAACATATACACATTTGACATTTTCATATTAAAAAATACATTATGATACTGGACACTGAGTTAAGTTATCCAAGTTAAAAGAACGGCTGGGTGGGGGGAAAAAACAAAAAAACAAACAAATGAGGCAAAACAGAGTTGGAAATGAATTAAGGCGAAAACAGATGAAGACAGAGACGAGAGAAAAAGAAATGTGGGTCAGTGCAGTTTGCGTTTCCTTTTTTTTGTCTTCTTGTCTTTCTTCTTGCCAGCGCATTTCACACAGTACCACGACTGGTCCTCCGGAGGGGCGGCTACAAGACCCACACAGGGCCTGAAAGAGACAGAAAGAGGGATAGATGAGTCTCAGTAACAAGATAAACCTGAATGATATCGATCGGTATGATGAACAACGCAACTTATGTGCCAAGTTTGTATTTTTTATTTAATTCTACAAAAATTCAAAATGGAAAAGGCACGTCTTTTATATATATATATATATATATAAATACTTGATCGTTCTCACCATCAAAATATCTCCTTTTATCTTGAAAGAGACACAATTTGTTCTGTGTGTGTTTGTGTATTTTTGATCTTTATGCGAAACGCATGAAAAAGAAGATTCCCAAAAAGCTTTACAGTACTGCCAGGCAATCTAGGCTCAGTTTGGGAATACTTGATCGTTCTCACCATCAAAATATCTCCTTTTATCTTGAAAGAGACACAATTTGTTCTGTGTGTGTTTGTGTATTTTTGATCTTTACGCGAAACGCATGAAAAAGAAGATTCCCAAAAAGCTTTACAGTACTGCCAGGCAATCTAGGCTCAGTTTGGGGTTTTTTGATTGGCACTTCCTCTTATTCACTTTGTTTTGAGGTGTGTGTGGCTCTTAAAATGACATGAAAGAGAATTAGTGTAAAATACAGAAGCCTTGTAACTTTAAATATAATCATTATTTTGTGCTTGTATGTCAAAAAAAAGGAAGTTTGGTCTGATATTACTCCTAAAGGTCTTATGCACCATCTAAGATGAATAAAGACATAACTGTATGACTTCACCTGAAGTCAAGATGAAATCGAACCCGAGACAACTTCCTTATAGATAACATTTAATCCCGCCTACATTTTTTTCTTGATTCCTCAGATAATGTCACATTACAGGGAAAAAAACAACCAACCAACCGAACAAAAACAAAAACTCGTTGCTGGAGAGAGGGATAAAAATCGTGATTGTGTAATGTAAGAGAAGCTGAAAAAGTTTTTTTTACCAGTGATACCAGTCGTCACACTCGTCGCATCCGATCATGGGACTGCCGTCATCAGGTTTATTACATCCTGGACAAATCCAGATCTGATTCCCCCATTCATCCCGAATCTGTGATGAACAAACACAAGAATCAATCAAACTTAACACTTGTGACACTGCTTGAAAAGAGAAGTAAAAGCAAGTGCTATAGTATCAAATACGTCACATCCTATATCATTTCGAGTCTGAGGTTTCCTGTTTTGAATGAAACCTCAGCATTAAATGCAATTTTTGACTTAAGAGCACTTAAGGAATTTTAGCTAGAAAAAAATGTGTGCATATCACGCAAATTTAAATATATAATTAAATATATGCAATACGTCTTATATATATACATTATATTTTCAATGTCACTTATGCCTCAATTATTAAATGCATGTTTGGATAAATCTAATTCAGTCAAATAACGTGTAAAAACAACAATTGATAGTTTAGTGCATAAAATGTAAAATATGTTTCTCAGTCAAAGTGACTTAAAATAATGAAGCTGATACACATGTGTAGAACTGTATATTGACATAATATACTGCATATTTGCTTGACTGCAACTGTAAATCATAACTATATTGTGATATTAATAATAATGTAAATATTACATATATGAGACTATAATGTATAATATGAACATAATATATATTTTATTTGTAATAATATCATTAACACAATGCAGTTGTTAATTTGTGTGTGTATATGTGAGACTCACCACGTATGCACTGACGGTCTCCGTGACAACGCTGCATCCCCGTGCTTTGGCCTGGCTGGGTGGTGGCTGAATGGGGGCGGCTGGGGGTGGAGGGGGCAGGACAAGAGGAGGGCGGGGTGGAGGTGCTACAGGAGCCAGGGCAGGTGGAGGGGGAGCAGGAGGGGAACGCATTCGTGCTGCTGGACTGGCCCTGGCCACTGGGATCCGTGGTGGTGGAGGGGTGGGCTCTGAATCTGGGACCACCTTACTGATCACACTGGTGAAGAAAGAGAGAAAAAGAGGAAAGAAAGGACAGTTATGCACCATAAAATTTTTTATTTATGTCATTGAATGAAATAGTTTATTGTATTACTGTTTGTTGTACATATAATTAAGGTCAAACGTTATTTGTAAGGTCTAATTCTCACCATTAACTACGACTTTTGCCTCAGTAAACTTAAGTTAATATGCTGCTTATTAATAGTAAGGTAGTTCTTAAGTTTAGATATGAAATAGAATTAAGGGATCTAAAATATGATCATACAGAATAAGGCATTAATATGTGCTTTATAAGTAGCCAATTTAGTAGTAACATGCATGCTAGTTAATAGCGAGAATTGGTTCTTAAAATAAAGTGTTACTGTTGTTGTTTTTTTCCTTCACATTTTCGTACATTTGTTGTATGTGCATTTATACAAACACTGGTAATGTAATTATCTTTGTTATTGTTTTTGTAAAAAAAAAAAAAAAGAAAGAAAAGGCTTATATCATGCAATATCATTTTCCTATGGCTAAAAACCATTATAATGGCCAGTATTATAAATGAGCTTTTCTGCTTCTGTTTGTGAATAAATCAATCAGCCAATTAAATTAAATAAACAATAAAAATAATTAATATTTGTGATGATTTATTTTGAATAAATAAAATAATGAAATAAGTAAAAAATAAAACCTACATCAAAACATTATAAATGTGTAAGTATTTCAATGTATTGTTTAAAAAAAGTTCACACCAAATCTCTAAAAGAATACGAGTAAACAGCATACATTTTATCTATTTTTTATGCTATACTTTTGCCTGTTTGAGTGCTTTTGTCTGAATACTGTAAACGGTAAACCGTTCTTATTTTATCTGCTTTCAATGTCAGCTGATATTTTCACCAATATATTGAGGAACCTTAACAATTATAATCTGGCAATAGAGAAGAGCTGTTTGTCTTTTAAATGCTGCCAGACAAACTGATTAAACCCTGCTGTTGCCGAGTAACAGGTTGATTGACAGGCTCGGAGAGAGTGGACAGCGGTGCTTGCTGTGGTATTGACCCTGAGAAGGGCGTGTCAAACGGTCAGCTCCGATTACACACACAGACACTCATTATTTATGCTTCATCTGACTGACTGACACACACACACACACACACACACACACACACACCACAACCATGCACAGGGCTCCCTCTCGGGGTAAAGATGGTGTGAGGTATGCCCTGTCCAGGATGTGACCTCACAACCTTTCAGAGATCAAAGGTCACCTGTGCCAATGTTTCCAGTGCATCAAAGGAGCTTCTGTTGAGATCTCGCAAAAATGTACACTGTATAGATCACTATTTTTGGTTTTAGCTGATATAAATACTCTTTTATCTTTTACTTTCATCACTGATATACTGTGCATCCCTAATGTCTTTCAAGCTAAAATAAAAGTTAAACATAAACAACATCTAAAGCTTTTTGCTTATGTAAACGAAACAAAACACAAGGACAGACATAAAAACACATTTTCCTCTTGAAAGCACTGCTGATTGTGTTTTTCAACAAACTAGACTACAGGTGCAAGAAAAGAGCACAACACAGGCAACATCAGAGGCACAACACACACTCCCAGGCTGAGAATAAAGGCCTTCCTGTATACACACACACACACACACACACACACACACACACACACACAGACGTAAACACTAATGTTTCCTGTCCTGCATGCAGGTGGAACTGAAGAGGTGAGGAAGAAATTCAAAAGCACAGTCAAAACACTGCAGATGCTGTACTTTCTGAGTCTAAATCACACTGGCCATTAAAGCAACATCAGTCACATGTAGACGTTCAGGAATCAGTAATCGCCTTACCTGTAGTATGGCGCTGTGTGTGTGAGGGGGTTAAGTGGTGTGAACACTGGCGCTATTGATAGGAGTGTGCAGGAGGGGGCCATGATGTGGGGGGGTGTGTGTGTGTTTGCCCCCCTCAAAGACCTCATGGGCCGTCTGGGACTGGTCACAAGACCCAAAGCCTGAAACTCACACCTGTACACAGACTCAGAGACTCTGACCACACAGAGAGCTGCCTGATACTCTCAACCCTTCGTGTGTGTATGTGTGTGTGAAGTACTTACATCTTGTCTTGTCCAGCGCCCACTCTGAGGGTCAGTCGGGGTATGACAGGAGACGGTGGGACAGCAGGAAGAACATCAGCCTAAACAGACAGAAATAATTTGAAATATATTATATATATATATCAGTTCAGGTCAGGTCGCCACTGAATTATTAAGCTTAGGGATAGGCTATGTGGCCAAAAATATTACCAGTTATTTTTTCATATCATTTGACATTAACATTTATCGGAATATTTATTGCACACCATTAACAAGGAAAGGAAATTCCACATTCCACACAGAGTAAGCCACCTTTTAATTTAAGAACCCATTTTATTTTATTTTTTTGATTCTGTATTTTGATTTAATACAAAAGTATCAAAAATGCTACCGAATGAAATGTATTATTTCTAAATGGTTGACAATTTAACAAATCATCTAAAATGTAATCAATATTAATAAAAAAAAAAAGATTATTACAGATAACTTTTTTGTATTTTGATTTAATATATATTTATCATAAAAATGCTATCAAACGAAATGAAAATAAAACTGAATATTTAAAAATGTAATCCATATAGCAATTAATTTTAAAAAGATGATCAATTAATAAGATTATTATAGATATATTTATTATTTTATCTTTATTATTTTTTATAAATATCAATATTTATTTATCACCCAGCCCTATTTAAGGTTTCTTTGATGCTGTAGTCTGTAAAATAGGGATTTCACTGACGCTATACAAATGACCAATAATTATCTCATGATAACCAATATACCAGTCAATGTAATTAATCTATTCTGTTTTGCCTGTTTTTTTATTCCAATTAAAACTGTGCATGGAAATTTGACATGCTTCTTGGCGAAATCGGAAAACAACACAACGTACAGCAAAAAAGAACAGGAAAAAAGAATCAATATGAAAATAAGCTGTGATTTAAATTGCCTCAATATCGGGTTTTAAAAGAATAAACTACAATAAAATAAAAATGCAAAACTCCCTAAATTTCAAAACGCTGGCCTGATGGATACATAACTCTCTATAACTCTAAAAGTGGGAAATTTCACACAGGTTACATGCAGTGGTCACTCCTCTTCTGAGGGCTTAATCCGGTTCTAACCAGATATGGTTACAGAAATGACCATTTAATTTTAAAGCTGAATTCAGTACTGAAAAATTCAGGTAGTGACAACAGAATTTTCACTGAATCCAAAGAATGTGTAAAGAACCAAACAACTAATCACGTGCATAAAACAGGGCATCTCAGCTGACAACAGTTTACTGAAAACCAAACAGGTTAAAATGTTGGTATACATGTTTTCTTCACAGCTGCAAATCACCAAGTCAGTGCTACGGTTATCATCCCGTCAATCATCACGGGTTTGGGGTTGAAGGATCAATCCAGTATTCCTCATACACAAGGAAAACAGGGTTGCTTTTTCCAAAACTTGCAGTGATGACATAATTGTGAGTCAGTTATTAAACTACAAATCAGCTACTAATGTGGACAAGGCCACACGGCTTCACCTCAGACGCACACACTTCACACGGCAGATGGACAACATAGTGTCCTGCTAATCCAGTTTAGCTAGCACCAGGGTCAGTCCTCCTGAAAAGCCCTTTATGTACACACACCTCTGATGCTGGCAGTAGTCTGTCCTGTCTGAGGCCATGGAGGTGGGGAGGAACAGAGAGAGGGGTATGAACAGACCCCAGAACAGAGATAAAAACAGCAGAATGGGATGATGAACAGAACAAAGCGCATGAGAGATGGAGGAGATGATAGCGTTGGGACGGATAACGCGGCGCTGGCGGAGGAGACCGGTGTAGAGTGTCTCAGGGGTTTTTCTGAGGCTTAACGAGAGTGAGGTGCTCTTTGTGCGTTTGTGTTGGGGAGAACCCCTGCCGCTGTGGTGCTTTTGTCCGCCCAGATCCCCCATAATGCCGCTGCACTAATTGTTTAACACAGAAACATGTCTTTTCTCTCTTTAATGTTTTTGTTTTTATTGTTGCGCCGCGCATTCATTACAAAACCTTTGTGGATTTGGAGACTCCTCCCTGTGTCTCGCTCACTCTCTCTGTCTGCCACCCCATCCTCTCTCTTTCTCTCTGTTTTTCACGTCCTTTCTTCTATGGAAAGAGGGGAACGTAAGTATCAGCAGAATTGAGAGGATGGCTGGCAGGTTGCATCATTTGGAGAGAATAGGAGCGTGAGAAGCTGTGTTAGCCGCTGCATTAGCATATATGCATGAACAAACCTGGCGAGTGGTGCCAAAAAAACAAAAAATGTCTGGAGGTATGCCTGTGCTCACAATTCTCCTTCTCCGATTTGCTTTCAGATCCGATCTTCCCAAACAGATGGCTTTTATGAAGCATTATAACCATGACTATCACACGTCTCTTCTAGCGATACATGCTTGGGAAAGCACCCCGATTGCGCCTATATAAGGGTTACACTATACTGGGGCTATAACAAGGGCTGCAACTCTAAACTGCCATAAAAGATTTATCAGCAGTTTGTACTTCAGTTGATTAGAGGAGCTCTTGAGTTAACGCTGGACTCAGCACAATGAATTTTAGACGGCCTTGTTAATCTATGGAAAACTCCTCTGAAAGAAACGGGCAAAACAAACTTGTTTCACCTGGTACCGGTGTTTTCTGCTCGGCTATTCAACAGTGGCGCTGCTTAATCTGCTGCGCCGCAGCAAAATAAATTATATTTTCTCTGAGATGTGACTTTGCAGTCTGAATTGAATGTGATGAAATGAAGAGTTGGTAGTACAAAATAATACAAAGACAATAAACAGATTCTAAAAATTGGTTTTGCTTCAGGACCCAGATTTTACTTTGGACTCAAACGGTGACCCAACACAGTAACTAAATGATTTATTGTACAGAAAGTAGTGGTGAGCGATATACCGGTAAAAATTTGTCAACCGGTAGAGATTTTGCACTATCATCTCTATCACGGTTACATGCTCACATGACGTTGCTGTGCTATGCGGTCACAAAAACATATCGTTTGCAGTAGTTTTTAAGCATTGCGGCTTAAAAAACAAGCTTTTTTAAGCCGTTGAAATGCAATCAGCAGTTTATGGGCCTTGAACGGTTAAATACACACATGTATGTTTCAAAATGCCCGTCTTTGCAAGTATTCTCGTAAACACAAAATTTAGGTCTTAATTGAAAGCAAACAGCTGAGAAAGAAAACACATATTTAACAGTATATTGGATCCGGGCAGCTCTTAACTCTCTGTTTTTCACGTCCTTTCTTCTATGGAAAGAGGGGAACGTAAGTATCAGCAGAATTGAGAGGATGGCTGGCAGGTTGCATCATTTGGAGAGAATAGGAGCGTGAGAAGCTGTGTTAGCCGCTGCATTAGCATATATGCATGAACAAACCTGGCGAGTGGCGCCAAAAAAACAAAAAATGTCTGGAGGTATGCCTGTGCTCACAATTCTCCTTCTCCGATTTGCTTTCAGATCCGATCTTCCCAAACAGATGGCTTTTATGAAGCATTATAACCATGACTATCACACGTCTCTTCTAGCGATACATGCTTGGGAAAGCACCCCGATTGCGCCTATATAAGGGTTACACTATACTGGGGCTATAACAAGGGCTGCAACTCTAAACTGCCATAAAAGATTTATCAGCAGTTTGTACTTCAGTTGATTAGAGGAGCTCTTGAGTTAACGCTGGACTCAGCACAATGAATTTTCGACGGCCTTGTTAATCTATGGAAAACTCCTCTGAAAGAAACGGGCAAAACAAACTTGTTTCACCTGGTACCGGTGTTTTCTGCTCGGCTATTCAACAGTGGCGCTGCTTAATCTGCTGCGCCGCAGCAAAATAAATTATATTTTCTCTGAGATGTGACTTTGCAGTCTGAATTGAATGTGATGAAATGAAGAGTTGGTAGTACAAAATAATACAAAGACAATAAACAGATTCTAAAAATTGGTTTTGCTTCAGGACCCAGATTTTACTTTGGACTCAAACGGTGACCCAACACAGTAACTAAATGATTTATTGTACAGAAAGTAGTGGTGAGCGATATACCGGTAAAAATTTGTCAACCGGTAGAGATTTTGCACTATCATCTCTATCACGGTTACATGCTCACATGACGTTGCTGTGCTATGCGGTCACAAAAACATATAGTTTGCAGTAGTTTTTAAGCATTGCGGCTTAAAAAACAAGCGTTTTTAAGCCGTTGAAATGCAATCAGCAGTTTATGGGCCTTGAACGGTTAAATACACACATGTATGTTTCAAAATGCCCGTCTTTGCAAGTATTCTCGTAAACACAAAATTTAGGTCTTAATTGAAAGCAAACAGCTGAGAAAGAAAACACATATTTAACAGTATATTGGATCCGGGCAGCTCTTAAAGTGACAGCAGTCTAATATTCCTGCTGTCTGTCATTCATGTTAATCAAACATCAAAAGAGAGTTAATCGCTCACTGCTCTTGACTGAAACACTTTTGTAACTTTAATAAGAAACATCACAGTGAAGAATATGCAATGTTTTTATACATTTGATTACTTTATACCATGTATGTAGCATTTCTTATTTATTTGTTCTACTGTAGTTTTTTGTCCTATTGCTTGTAATTAGTTTATTATTCTTATTTAATCATTGACTGTTTACTTGTCAGTGATTAAAAAACTCAACCAGAATAAAGGGAGATGGTTGGTCGACAATTGCGGTGGGGCAAAGTAAGACTTGTGACGTCATCCAAAAAGCCAAAGTCTTTCTGAGGCAGAGCAAGTTGTTTCATTTTTAGGTTTTCAACAGTCATTAAAGTTTAAAAAGCAAATAACTTCAGATTGCGATATCTCCCATTCTGAAGGATGACACCTGTGTTTTCTAACCACAATCGGGCAATGGGGAACAGCCATCCAACACACGAGCGAGTACAGACCTTTCAACCTCCCTAAGGAAGGAGCTAAGGCCATGTGTCTTGACGATAAGGCCCGTGTACGTGTGTGCGCGCGTCTGTAAGAGCGAACGTGTGCACACACTCAGGGTGACCCACAAAAGCAGGACAAGATAGTACTATCTGCTTATGTTAATTAGTCTTTAAGTGGTTG